GCGAAAAAAAGAAGTTCTCGAGATAATCGGGCGGTTGATTAGCAAAATGTGTGAAGGGCCATCAATCAGAAGATAATCAGGATTGAGAAAAAAAAGTAGAGATATGCACATATGGACTGTAGTTTATGTAATATGATCTCCCCAAAGCCTAGTCATTACAAAAATACAGGAAAAAGGCGAAAACTTGGGGACAAAATTCTGTAAACATTTAGGAAACTCTATACTTCTTTCTTCTGTATTTACATTGGTGACCGCCATATTCTTCCTTCCAAGGATATGATGATGATCGAGACGTCGTCGTGGTACCGGCGGCGATCCCCTTGAGGAATGTCAAGCAACTCATGGAAATCCATACCTGCACAAAAATAATGCTTCGTTCAGGCTTATATGATTGCTATTAATTTGTTAGCCTCGCTGCGGTAATTTTAATCCGATATGAGTCTTGATTGAGTAGGATTCCTCACCGGCTTGCTTGGCGGCTCGGAACAACACTTCCTCGACCAGGTGTTGCGCGGGGTCTCCTTCGGGGAACGAGGAAAGGAACGAGTCTACTTCGGAAATGGCCTCCTGATTGGTGAAGTACTGGTTCAGGCCGTCCGAGGACAGTATCAAGAATCTGTCTCTTGGCCCGAGCCTGTGGTGGCTCAGAGATGGCGTGCAAGTGATGTACGGGGAAGTCCCAATGTAGTCGATTCTGAACATCTCCAGGAGAGCATCGTTCCACTTCGGCTGCAAATACAAAGGAAGCCAAGTTTTAAGCGTCGCTGATCGATTAATCTCAGCGCGGGATCATCATCTTAGCGTTTCGGAAAAGCATTTCGTGATTTTTCCAAGTCTCCTAAACAAAAATGTCTGGATCTATGCATATCATAGTCGCATAACAGATGCTTCACAGAACAAATTAGGAGAAATTGCATTTCCCAGTCATTGCAAGCCGAAACTTTGAATGAATGGAGGACTCGATAATGGAAGCATACCTGTTTGAGAAACCCGGCTCCGAAAGCTCGGGTGACTTTCAAATAACCCTTCACGCGGTCGTTCACTACTGCAGAGGCGTCGTCCGGATGTTCATTCCTGATTCTGTGCACTTCCTGAAAGTGCAAAAAATATGACAGCTCAAATTTCACGACCTTCCAAGGATCGCAAAGCCCAGCTAAAATTGGCAACCAAGATCTTACCTCTTCCACATATGTGCTGTGATCCTGGGTCAGTTGGAGGGAGATCAGATTGTGCATATCGTCGAACTGATCACCACTGTCGCTCGAATCAATCCGATAAGCAGTCCCCTTCGCATCGGATTTACCCTTCCGAGCCAAGATAGCCCGGCTATCCCCGACATTCATCAAGTAAATATCCTCGCCCCTCATCAGCATCACCAGGACACAAGACCCCATCAGGGCCAACTCTGGATTCTCCCTCACCATCCTATCCGCTATCTCCAGAAACGCTCCCTCCGTCTTCTTCAGTGCCGTCTCGAGCGCGTTCAGCACGTCCGAGTGATCGACAGCCTTCCCCGAATCCGACCCTGGATGAAGGTTTCCTCTATCGCCGCCGTCGGCTAAGGTCGCCGGGATCTTCCAGAGCAGCCCTTGGAGTTCTTTGCAGACAGCAGAGTAAAGATTGGAGAGCAAGAAATCGGGGGCATCGGGGCCGTTGAATCCGTCGTAAATCCCCACGAAGACCCAACCATTTTCCTCGGAGACCACCACGTGCATTCTGTCTTCCCCTGCTTTGCCCTGTGCCCATTCGAGATTTTGATTCTCCACATAAAACTCGCTGTCGCCATTCAGAATCCCACTGCTGCTGGTGCTCTTAACGTTGTAAAAATCCGAACTCTTGCCTGAAAACATGTAATCGTTCGCTCTCAGCACCCGCTTAGCGATCGCTCTTCTCAAGTACTTAACCAGCCTGCGCTTCTTGGAGCTGTACCCGCGGAGAGAGAAGTCCCTCTGCCACCGATCGAACGACGACCGGCCGACGATCGAGCCCGAGTAGTAGAGCCCCTGATCGATAGGGCCGGACGTGGACCTGAGCTCGATCGGGCCCGACAAGAACCCTTTCTCCATCGGTCCCGACCTCGACCCGACCCGGGGGACGGGCTGGAGGGGCACGGACGCGAACGAGACGGAGCTCTCGAAGACGGAGGCTTTCTCGAGCGAGGTCGTGGCGTAGTAGCACGCGTCGGCCAGCGAGGTGGACAGCGGGGACGAGGCGTTGGCGCTGATGGAGGCGCCGGATATCGAGCTGAACGTCGTCGTCGACGTCACCGTCGTCTGGGTCGCGCAGTCCTCGGAGTGGAGATGATCCGAGGAGGACGCCGGGTCCTGCCGGATGTAGCAGAAGGAGTGGCCGAGGCCATCGTCGCAGTAGGAGGAGGGTTGGGGGAGGGAGGCCCCGTCGTGGCGGCGGGAGATCTCCCCGGCCCCGGCGCCGGCGAAGCAGCGGCGGAGCCTGGTGATGCCGTTGCCCATGGCGGAGAAAGGTCGCGGCTTTCCGCGGCGGGGTGGCTCGTTCTCGGGCGGCGGCGGCGGCGGCGGCGGATGCTTCAAGCGGAAGCTCTCATTGATGGCGTGCAGAGTCTCTGAAATGAAACGTTTGGAGCAAGATGATAAAAATGGAAGAGAGAGAGATGAAACGTTTGAAGCAAGATGGTAAAAATGGAAGAGAGAGAGGGAGAGGGAGGAGTTGACTTTTTGAAGGGGAGTTGGGTTATTTTTGGGTTGTTGTATGATGTTTGAATTTGTTTTTGTTGGTACTTTAATAATTGAAGGAGTTGACTATGAGTGCTGGGAGCGGGGGATCAGTTACTTGAGTAAAAGTTTGGGAGAAGGGGGGGGAAAGGAGGAAAGGAATAGATACAAAAGTCAAAAGGGATGATGGGGAGGTGAGAGTGGCCAACCTTTGCACTCTTTGTAAAAAGTCTTCCCGTTTTTGAAATGGGCCAGAAAGAGAGGACAAGGGGGAAAAAGGGACCCTATTTTTGGGGCTCAGGGCATCTATTCCTTTGTTCATGTGTTGGGGCATCTGAAGAAATTCACTTTAAAAAAAAATGAAAACAAAATTGGGCAAGTGGCCAAGCTCTTGTGTTTTCTTCCTACATTTAGAAAGTTATCTAGATTCTCCTCCAGTTGCCGTGCGCGATCGAGACCTCTGTACCGATTTAGGCGATCCGTGAAGATATTCGTAACAGATGCCCTAGTGCCGCCTCCTGCTCTCTGTATGGCGATCTTGCGGGTTTTCTTGTATTCGTTGCTCCCGAAACGGGCCTGGACTGAGGTTCAGAGCGATTTGCACGTAGTGAGGAAGCGGGGATTTTTTGGGAGCCAGAGGGTTGCTCGACGGCACGACAACAATATGCAAGCTCCCGTCGATTCCTCGCCTCTTCGTATTTGCACCAGCTTTCGATGTGTGACTTTGCTCCTTCGCTTGTATTGCTTGATATAATTAGTCTTTAGAAAAAGGTTTTCATTATCGACAAAAGTTGATGTCTAAACATTTTTGTAGACAATGAATATATTTTTCCTTCATTCATTTTTGTTAGCAATGTAAGCAATTATTTTCAGAAATTATTTATTTTCTACGAATTAAATAGATATAATTGGACTTTTTTTCTTTTGCCCAACTACATAGGATCGACTCTTTTTTGGGGCCTTTCAGGCCCAAAATATTTTAAGGATTGGGCCCATGTGGCCCCGTCAATGGGCTTGACCCAGCCTAAGTTCAATCAGGTACCCTTTGAGAATAATTGTCTATGAAGCCAAAAATTGGAAAAATTACCTAACCAATCGTGAACACTTATTGTACGGATGCCAATTCAGTCATAAATTTTTCAATTTATCGATTTAGTTTTAAAAATTTGTGGGAAGTTTCAATTCCGGCCAATTTCCGCCGAAAATATCTGACGCGTGGCGATCTAGTCATCGCCGATCGTTTTACATGGCACACTGCCTCGTCGGCGATTTTCCAGCGAAAATTGATCGGAAATATCTCATTGGTCAGCAAAAATTGGTCAGAAAATTGGCCGTCCTCAACATTATTTATCAATACAGTCCATACATTTGTAACAGCTTCACAATCAGCCATAAGAAGTTACTTATTTTTCCCAATAAACTAAAAAAAAACAAAAGCCACGTGTCCAAGAGAGGAAGGAGATGGCAGTTAATACAGTTGAAAGCGGCAACAATTTATCGAATGGGACGAGAGTCCGAAAATGCCGGGTTTTGTCCGAACGTTGAAGTTCCTATTCTCGTCGTTCTTCGGCCTTTCTTCATTTCCTCTCCTCCTGCCTTTGGCCATGTCCCGACCTCACCCAAATTCTCTCTCTTTCCCTTTTCCTCTGGTAAGAAGATTTTCTGCGGATCGATGGTTAAACGTCGCGTCTCGCTCAGTTGATTATCGTGTCGTGATTTGGCCGATCGGTCGATGATGATGCTAGCCATCACTCGTTTACAAGGCCTCATGATCGCCGCGAAAGGTAATCGACGATGCCGGTTTCTTTCGTTCTTCTTGTTCGTTCGTTCATTTTCTTCATCTGCAGGGCATCGGCAATCGCTCGTTCGGTCCGTGACTCAATCTTTAATTATGCAGACTTTTTACGTTGAATGTTGCTTGCTGTTACACTGAATAATTGAAGTTGTTTATTTGTGCGAACGTTGTCACGATGAAATGAACAATAAGTAAGCTATTGCTGGAGTTATCAATTACGTCATGTTTACATCCTGATGACATCCATCCCCATCATCACATGAGAAAGTTCGATCCAACCCTGCTTAATTTTTGCCAAATTCGAGGACGTCGAGCATGCTGTTCCATCTAAAATGATTTCTACGCGCTTCTCTGAATCCCTCATAGATTCTGCATCTTTCAGGTTCAGCTATAGAGATGATTGCAATCTGTTTCTCCTTCGTTTGCGACGCAAAATTTACCAATCTGTATTCGGCACCGTATGCTTTGGGAATTGCATGTATGCAACATAGTCTGAGTCCTGTATCTCATGTATTCTCCGGTTGATCGATTACCTGCGACACGATTCAGCCGTCAGGAGCTGAAAGCTTCTTGTGAGACTAAGAGATCCAAAAGCGGCAACCCGCTTTCCCGATGGGGAAGCACTTGCAAAGCAAAAGCGCGCAGCTCCAGTTGGAGAACCATCAGCAGGGATGCATGTGGAGCATACTTCACGGTCTCAAGTACCATCAGTGGCATTACGTCAAGAAGAGGCTTCCGCACATGAGGCAAGGAGGCGGAAGGCATTCGGCGGGTAAAGCGATCGCGATCCACCGATCCCTGTCCATTTCAATATCGATAACACTGTTGATATTCGTCAGTAGTCTTAAGATATTTAAGGAGATTTGTCTAGTGCGCTTGGAACTGAATGGTTAGTAGTTACCGATGATTAGTTTGCATGGGACCTTGTCCAGAGAAGTCATCTCAATGAACTAATTTACAGGCTGTGATAATTGGGTTGATGTTGCTAAACAATTCTTGCAGAGATTAGATGGAATGACGATAGTTTATGGAAAGATTCGGACAATTTCATGACCATCATCCTTTTTTGTTAGGTAATGGAACTACTGAGAACAGTACAAATGCCCATCATACTGACGTATCACCGGAGCACAGCAATGCCGATGGCGAAAGCTTGCAGGTGAGTTCGAATAGATTTCGGTAATTGATTGCATCGCTTGTCTTCCTCGAAAGCTAATGACTGATCTGGAAATTTAACGTTGACCAGAAGAAGAGAGAACTCAGTCCAGCAACCAAGACCTCCGTGAAAGCCCGGATAAAAGCGCTGATCTCGGAAGAGAAGTACAGAAGGAAGGGCCGGCACCGCAGGAGCTCCACCTCTCCGGCGCACTTGCAGTCGGTTGAAGCCAGTTCCACTCATCATCCAGGCTCAGGCTCCTGTCTTCACAGGTCTTCACATGATCACTTTGACATGCATGGGATGCAACCGATACAGAAAGGCGAACTTAGTCAGGAAAAATCGAAAAACTCAGAGCAAACTCTGCCACAGGATGATGTGCTTCTTGAAAGTTGTACTGCCACAGACGGTCTTGATCACCGAGCATATGATGGTACAGATGGTTCTGATTGCCGATCGGGGATTTTTCGTGATCCTTTGGATAGAATTGACCTGGACAAGGAGCTAGTTCTCAAAGTTTTACAGGACAAGGGATCATTTTCGGCTCAGCACTTTGATGGTCAAAACGCGGTTAGAATGAAAATGGGGCTGCGGAGGTTTGGAACTTCTCCAGTATCAAGCCAATCAGGCGAAGAGGTCTCAGCACCAAGCACATCTAGAAACAAAGAGGAAGAAGAGTGTAGCAAAAGCAAGTTAGGCAGCCTGGGTCAAGACACACCTTTGGCGGAATCCAATGCTTCTGTGGCCGTCCCCGTCCTGTTTCTAAAGAAGCAAGGCAAGAATCAAGTCGTCAGTAGTCGCCTCAAGAATCTGAAAAAGAAACTGAAACATGTATTGAAAGCAAGCCGGAAGGAAAAGCATCGGATAGCCATGGACGGGATCCTCGACAAGATCCCTCGAGACCACGAGCGTTCGATGGAAATAAAGGAGGACGTGATACGAAAGTGGAAGGACGTGGTCTCGGAGAGAGATTATAGCAGCTCTCCAAGACAAGGCGATCCACGTGGTATGAAGAGGACGCCGTCCCTCGATGCGTCACTGGAGAAGTATTGTCAGCTGTTCGAGTCAAGTTTCAATAGAGAGGCCAAGCACAGCGATACCGGGACATCTAGAGTCGGAGGACAAGAGAAGAATTCGCATCGTGAGGTATCCGTGAGATCGCTGGTGCGCATTCGTTCCTTACCAGAACTCAAATCTTCCTCTTTTAGGACTGAGGACTCTTCAGTAGCCATCCTCACTGGGACTCCAGTTAGGACTCTCACGGACACTAATGTGAGCGGACGAAGTAGCTTCGACGCGGCGAGCAATCAGAACTTTAGGTTAGCTTTGGAGAAATTAGATGTGCATGTAGAAAATGAAGTCGATGACGAGAAGGTAGATCATAGTGAAGCTTCTTCGGTCGGTAGAGAAGAGGTACAATTAACGTCGGTTGCTAGTTTTCAAGATATGGGCGACTCGACAGCAGGAGAACGTACATATGTCGACGAGGTTGTCATCGAGCTGACCTCGATGCCCTCCATTAAACTAGAAGATACAGAGTCCAATCAAAGAAGCCCCGTCCTCGATGGAGTGGAGTCCGATTCTTCGGCCATTTGCTGTCGTGAACCAGCATAAGTGACGTGCTGCCGGTGGTGGACACTGAAGTTCATCTTGAAAATGCGGAAATCTCGAGTTATCAACTGGATATGGACTTAATGTATGTCCCTGTGGATTTGAAAGACGTTGAGCTGTTCAATTATGTCAAAGACGTCCTAGAGCTCTCTGGATTCGGTGGCAACGAATCCCTGGGAAGATGGCATTCTGGAGGCCAACCGGTTGACCCTTCGGTTTATGAAGAAGTCGAGGGTTGCTCAATGCCCAACCTCGAGTCTCTAGAGAACAACGAAGGCGGTCACTACGATCACTTAATTTTGTTCGATCTCATCAATGAGGTGTTGGTCAATATCTACCAGAGATCCTTCGGGTACCATCCAAGGCCTCTGTCTTCTCTCTGCCGCGTGCATCCAATGCCAGAAGGGTTCCGTGTTCTTGAGGAGGTGTGGGCGAGTATAAGCTTTTATACGAGTCTAAGGCCTGAGCTCGACCCGGCAATGGACTATGTGACTGCCAGAGAGCTAGAAAGGCATGACGGGTGGATGAATCTACGGTTCGATAGCGAGTGCGTGGGGCTTGAGCTCGAGGACTTGATCCTGGATGATCTTTTGGAGGAATTGATCTGCACTTGAACACATTCTAAGTCGCATTTTTTTCTCTTCCTATAAATGTAAAGTTGCTAGCTTAGATCTAACCTAGAAGAAAAAAATGTTGAAAGCAATTTCACACTAAATAGTGACGGTCCATAAACAACAGTGTACATAAGGCGTTTTTAAATTGATAGTGAAAAAAATTGATCTTCTCATGCCTCTGATAAAGTATGCGCTGAGTTGATTATAGCGACCAATCGGTGCATGAATCTTTAATGGTGAAGTTATCTCCAGGGAAACTCATATGTGGCTTCGTGAAGCCAAACATACAGTGCATAAGAAACTTTAGAAATAAAACATTTCTGGTTCAAGCAAATGAGATTCGTCTTCTTCTTCAGCTGTCACGTGAGTCAGTGATTATGTAGGAAGGATAGAGCTAAAACAACCCAAGAACGATGATAATTAAAATGAACCTAGCAAGTTTCCAAGGAAATGATTGTGTTGATGCCTTACTTCTCTTGCCACTTTAGTAAGACTTCTTGATAAAGCTCTTTCTGCAAATTCCTCCTCGAAATTTGGTTTTTGCAATCAAATCTCCGAGCGAAGGGGAGTAATTTTTCAATCTGATTCCCGCAGTGGCCGAGGTATACGAAAAGCATAAACGAGAAACTAGGCGAAGGTGCCGTTTGAACACGAGACCTCATAGCTCTGATGTCACATTCGATTAACTATGCAGTTAGCGCACTTTCAGAATCTCTGGTCGTGCACTCAGCCCATTTCGCCCCCAGAACATCACTCGAACATCCGTTTGTGGAGTTCGCAAAACCAGACTCCTCTACTCCGGTCCATTCACAAAACAGGAGTGCATGATAACGGGTTTTAGGTTCATTGCTTGCTTGGCCTTATCCTCCTTGTCCATAGATTACTTAATATTGCAATGGCATCGGAACAAGCTCTCCATATAAAGCTGTTTTTTTTTTTGGAAACACAGTCCAAAAGCTCCATGATTCCAGTTTCCATGCTCAATCTGGTATGACAAGGAGGGACCTTTCCCAGCTCTCCTTTCCTCACAATTGCCTCAACTTCATCCTCCTCTAGTTGCTCACTTGTTCCTCTGTGGTCCCAGTTTCTTCGTCACTGAACCATAAAATTTTCAGCACCAGGCATCCAAGGATCAGACCAGTTACTTATAGATTCCCCATTAACCACATGCCACATGGTGCCTCTAGTTTCTGTTGGCTAGAAAGGTGGAGAACTTGTGATAGACTGATCAATACTTCTGGTCATCTTAAATATGCCATCGGTAGTATTTTTGCGATCCCTTTTGAACAACACCTTGGTCCAAGATCTATCGGTGTAAGCCTTTAGATAAGTAATTTTGAATTTGATCTCGCAACACTCTATAATGGCTCTTCAACTGGACAAACAGAACACAGGCGAAGTTTCTTTGCTGTCCACCGATTCAACTCTGGAGTTGGAATGAAAATTGGGCTTGATCTCCGCAATGGGGAGGGAGGAAGAACAAATGGGCATCCACCATTTGAGTCCGTTGTGCCAACATTGTCGACGTCCATGTGTAGATAGACGACCCTCACATAGATTTTGGTTTCCATGAGTACACTCTCTCATCTACTTCAATCAAACGGTGGACACAGAGGTTGCTTTGCTTCCCAACAATGAAGCCGCAAAAGCATTGCATGGAGAGAGAGAGAGAGAGAGAGAGAGAGGGGATCACTGGTGGAAGTCGTCGGCCAAGTCGAAGGTGGTCGGCGACATCTCCGATGGCGCGCCTCCCCTCTCTCTCTCTTTACGCCATTTATCGACTTTAATGGGTCAGGTCTGATGTAGCTAGCAAGGATCACCTAGAGGGGATGAATAGGTGATCTTAAACAATTTTTATCAATTTACGCGAAAATGAAAGATCACAGTTGAGACCTTACAAAAAAAAAAAAGATCACAGTTGAGTCTGAATAAAATTCAGATTCAAAACAGTTTATATAGACAGTGCTCTTGATGTGCAGTGTGTAAAGTAAGAGATAATGGATAGAAAAACTGCACACAAGTTTATAGTGGTTCGGCTTATAGCAAGCCTACGTCCACTCTCCCACGCTGACAGCCTACCGGCTGGATTTCACTATGTAATCAAGAGGAATTACAGCTTCTGAGTGACAGCACTCTTGTGTATGATAGGACTCTCTATCTCACACAATCACTCTTACAAAGTGTTCCTCAAGATCTTAATTTTTTGCTCAGAAAGACAAGAGAAATGATCGGAGTATGCTCAGACTTTGGACTTGTTGATTCTTGATTCTGTACTTCCTTTTGCTGCTCGTTGATCTCCTTAAATACTCCTCCACTTCCAAACTAGCCGTTGGACAGCCTTCAGAGGATCATCTTCCAATCTTCACATTGGACAGATTTGTATAGAAAGGATTGAGTAGCCGTTGAATGACAGATTCTGAATCCCGCTGATTCTGGTCGCCCATACAATCAGAATCTTGGTTTTCATAAGTAGAGCTTTATTCGTTATGATGCACACTTGTCGTAGTATTTGATTGTCAATCAATTATAGCCTTCGATTGAAACAATCAAAACTTTCCTTCTGTGAAATCCATACCAGATCACTAGCTATTATGTTTCGTTCTGAGTTCTGCGTCTGAAGAAATTCTTCGTCTGAAGAAATTTTGCATCTGAATAACTTCTGCGTCTAAATAACTTCTACGTCTTCATGTCAGAACTAAGATTATGTGGGTCTTCAACTTCTTATTTTGCCAGCTTGTAAAGTCTAAAAACTTCCTTCTGAGTTTCCAGAATATATATACATACTTGGAAAAAAAAATAGTTCAGAATAAGTATCAGATTTACAATAACATGGAAGGTTTTGTCAACTTCAAAATCAATAGGAGTTTTCTTCAACAATCTCCCCCTTTTTTATGGTGACAAAACTTCCTTGCAGATTGAATCAATTTGAAGTTAATTTGAAATAAATAAGCATATTAAGCGCATGAAGCACAGATTGAGATTGAAAGAGCAAACTCTTTTGATATCTGTGTCTTTTTCTTCCTTTGTATATAACCTGCATATGATCTGCATATTAATGTTAGTATGGCAAATCTGCATATAATTTCTCCCCTTTTTTGTCAGCAGCAAAAAGAATGATAGAGAGAATAAAGCTTTGATATTAATCAAACTGTCTAACAAGGAGAATTGTTAAGAATATTACAGACCAAGTGAGAAAAAAATGATTTTTGAGAAAAAAAATGTTAAAAAGCAGGCTATTTCTTGGAAGGGGTTCGAATGAGTTGAAAGTTTTCCAAAATGGAGACAGCTTCCTCAATCTTCGAAGAACATTCACCCATAGCTTTGTCCATGTTGGTTGAGCACAGAGCAATAGCTTCTTCAAGTTCTGCTTTGTCTTTTGCTGCCTGAAACCGTTGAGTCTGGTTATTTTCCTCAACAATTTTATGAAGATTCTTCACATCTTGTTCAAGTGAAGCTTGCTTATCTTTGATTTCGAGCAAAAGAGTTAAGATGGTCAGATTGTCAGAGGGCTGATCTTGGACATTAGCTTGTTCAGTCTGATCGAACTCAGTTTCCGCTTATGATGGAATCTCCCCCTGAAAAGGTGCATGATCTGCAGAAGCATGTTCTTCAGAATCAAGATAAGATTGACTTACATTTGTCTGCGGTGGAGCAATGTAAGGAACTATCTGAAGCAGATTAAAGTCTTCAGATGTTGGTTCTGAAATATGAACATCAGGTTCTGAAGAAACTAATGGTCTCTGAACATAGTCCTGGCAAGCATTTTGTCCTAGGTCAAGATTGTCTGAGTCATCTTCTTCATCTATAAGGAGAAGTTTTCGACGTTTTCTGTACACTTGAACAGGTCTGGTTGGTATGAAGTCTTCCTTGACTTTCTCTTTTCCTCTGCTACTTCCTTCTTTCTTTCTTGCTGGTCGTCCTTGAGGAGATGATGCTTCAGAATGATCTCTAAGTGATTTTCTTGGCCTTTGTCCTAGTGTCTCTCTATTTTCTTTGGCAGCAAATTGCTGGAAGTTCATTTTGGCCAACATCTTTTCTCCAACAAACATTAGAGGGACAAATGTCTTGCACAATTCATCAGGGACAGAAATGTGTAAATAAACAAATATCATGGATATTAATGCACCATAGGGAAGCTGACCTTTGTCCTTGAGTACAGTTCTGTACATATGAAGAATAATTGTGTGTGGAAGAGAGAATGGGACTGCATGCAGAATTGCCCAAATAAGTTTGACCTCAAATTTGGATAAATCAGTCTTTGATGATGCTTTGGGCCTAAGACAATTGATAATGATCTTATGTAAGATCACTGTTTTCTTTGTCAAATTTGGATAAGTAATCATCCTTTTTGAACCTCTGGAAAAGTTTGGGTTTTCTTAAACAAAGTTTGGGGGTGAATAGGTGATCTTAAACAATTTTTATCAATTTACGCGGAAATGAAAGATCACAGTTGAGTCTGAATAAAATTCAGATTCAAAAAAGTTTATATAGACAGTGCTCTTGATGTGCAGTGTGTAAAGTAAGAGATAAGTGATAGAAAAACTGCACACAAGTTTATAGTGGTTCGGCTTATAGCAAGCCTACGTCCACTCTCCCACGCTGACAGCCTACCGGCTGGATTTCACTATGTAATCAAAAGGAATTACAGCTTCTGAGTAACAGCACTCTTGTGTATGATAGGACTCTCTATCTCACACAATCACTCTTACAAAGTGTTCCTCAAGATCTTAATTTTTTGCTCAGAAAGACAAGAGAAATGATCGGAGTATGCTCAGACTTTGGACTTGTTGATTCTTGATTCTGTACTTCCTTTTGCTGCTCGTTGATCTCCTTAAATACTCCTCCACTTCCAAACTAGCCGTTGGACAGCCTTCAGAGGATCATCTTCCAATCTTCACCTTGGACAGATTTGTATAGAAATGATTGAGTAGCCGTTAGATGACAGATTCTGAATCCCGCTGATTCTGGTCGCCCATATAATCAGAATCTTGATTTCCATAAGTAGAGCTTTATCCGTTGTAATGTACATTTGTCGTAGTATTTGATTGTCAATCAATTATAGCCTTAGATTGAAACAATCAAAACTTTCCTTCTGTGAAATCCATACCAGATCACTAGCTGTTATGTTTCGTTCTGAGTTCTGCGTCTGAAGAAATTCTACGTCTGAAGAAATTCTTCGTCTGAAGAAATTTTGCGTATGAATAACTTCTACGTCTTCATCTCAGAACTAAGATTATGTGGGTCTTCAACTTCTTATTTTGCCAGCTTGTAAAATCTGAAAACTTCCTTCTGAGTTTCCAGAATATATATACATACCTGGAAAAAAATAGTTCAGAATAAGCATCAGATTTACAATAACATGAAAGGTTTTGTCAACTTCAAAATCAATAGTAGTTTTTCTCAACAAGATCCACACGAGCAAAATCCCGAATGGGTCACTCCACTCCAATGCAAAAATCCTTTGCCCTGGATGGTGTCGGAGTGTTCTTGATGCTATGCGACTGATGCACGCTCACAAGTAATGCTCTCACGTCACTTGGGTCGATAATGCAAATGCATGAATCTGCACATGATCGATTTTAATGCGGGTTGATTAGGGGTAGGTAACGTGGCGGATATTTTTGGCTCTTTTTGACGAGAGTGCGTCTCCCTGCACTGCGAAAATCATCGGGGCCCTCGAAATTTGCGGACATTACGGAACCGACTTCGATCGAACGCACCCGAGAGCTCCGGAAGGCGCAGAGATCTCGAGAAATCGGTTGGAAGCGACACGAAAGTAAGGCGACGGATGGGGACGAAGAGGCACGTGGAGGAGGACTGATCCGGAGGCGACGGATGGGGACGAAGAGGCACGTGGAGGGGACGAAGAGGCACGTGGAGGAGGACTGATCCGGAGGCGACGGATGGGGAGGAAGAGGCACGTGGAGGAGGACTGATCCGGACAAGTGGGCGGCTGATCTCCCCTCCCCTGCGCTATAAATACCGTCGCTGGCCCTTCGCAGAGCTGCTCGCCGTCGGAGAATTGTCGGAGAGAATCAATCGCTGTAATCTCCGTTTGATCGTTGCTTTGCCAATCTGAGATCTGGAAGACATGTCGTCGTGCTGTGGAGGAAACTGCGGCTGCGGCTCCGGCTGCAACTGCGGTAACGGTTGCGGAGGGTGAGTCTCTTTCCCTCTCTGTCTCTGTCTCTCTCTGTCTCTCTCTCGCATGGATGTAGATGATGCGTTGATGAATCTCCGAAATGACGCAAACAGATCTCAAATTTATGATCAAACGTTTCTTGCATGCTTTCTACGATAGTTCTGGCGCTTTTCGATCGTTGGAATCCGTCGCTCCAATCTGATGGTAAGCGCGAATACACAGAGCAGTTGCTTGTGCGATGATGATTAGCCGGTTTTTAGTTTTATTGATTGTTGAATAGCCATAAAATCAAGGAAATGGCGATGGTGACGCAGGTGCAAGATGTATCCAGACATGAGCTACGCGGAGAACGGCAGCAGCGAGACCCTCGTCATGGGCGTCGCTGCGCCTGGGAAAGCGTACGTGCTCGGGATCTTCCTCCTTTCTTGTTTCTCTTTCTTAGTAATTCGATAATTCGCCAACATTTTTGTTGTCAATGCAGCGTGAAGATGGAGGAAGGAGAGATGGGTGTCGCGGGAGCAGCGGAGAACGGGTGCAAGTGCGGGTCCAACTGCACCTGCAACCCGTGCAACTGCAAGAAATGAACCGTCCCTCTGAACAGCCGCCGCCGCTGCCACCCGCCTGTTCCTAATGCTGGAGAAATAAGAAAGCAGCCTTGTGTTTGGTATTTTGTTATCGTGTCGCCACCTCTCTGTGTCTCAGCTGTAATGGGGAGGTGTGTCCTGTGTGTGTAAATGCAGTGAACTAGTGCATATCTGTGTCTCTGTTTCAGCCAACTATGCTCCTTCGTTCTCTGCTCCACGGTTCTCCTTGCGATAGAATAAGGCTACAGGGGAAGCTTTAGATTTCGGGACCTCTGCAGCATCATCTGATAATTGTAGAAGAATATCGGTAAGCGAACCGAGGCAGAGTCGAAACGGTGTACGCTGCGTCCTCTGTCTGCTCAAGCGATGCTGCTGCATTATAGGGCGTTGAAAAAGAGGTGTAGAGAGGGGCAGAGTTGATGCCGGAAAAACGCATGAACATATCTTGGTTTTGAGGTGAAAAAGGTGGTAGAAGATGCATGATGCTTGCCACCAAACTGGTGATGGTAATCTATAAATTGTAGGAACTAGAAAGACGAATAGTCATAATCATTGATCCCAGCCACTTGTTATTCAGTCTTATGCGCCCGAAATTCCCTCGAAATTATTCGTGTCCTATACTTTTTGGACATTCAAAGGAAGAGAAATACAAGGAGAAACAGATTGGACAATGTAAATTTACCAATGGGGTTGCTCCACTAATTATTTCGATGGAAGGAGGATTACCGATGGGGGCTCTTGGAGGGATTGGGGCCGTCGATGGAGCTCGAGCTCCGGGAGGCAACGGGGAAGGCGGAGGCGTTCTTGTTGGAATGCGGATTTGAGTTTGGGAGTGAGAGAGAGGAAGTGAATTTTGAAAAAAAGAACAAGAAGAAGAAGAAGAAAGAGCGTGTCTTCGTTCTCTGAAATGAAGAGAGAGAAAAAAGTAAGATTTAATAATTACCCTGGTGCCACATGTTTATTAATTGAATGATTTAGCTCATGTTTGACGTGGACGGGCCCGGACCATCGAATATTTTCTCCTTGATTTTATTTTATGGTGTAAAAAGTGGTAGGTGGTATGTGATGATTATCACCAATTGGTGATGGTAATTCATAAATTATAGGAATTAGAGGTAGCTAGACAATGAAGAATGATGAACCGCTCAAATCGGGATCGGATCAGACCGATCGGTTTGGTCCGGTTCTCGAAAATATTCTGTTCCTAAAAGTGGAAATCGGGATTTTCGGTTTGATCCGGTTCCCGAAAATTTGCTCCTAAAGTTCGGTTTTAGGTATTCTAAGATGGGAACCGGATATGACCGCTAAAATATATATATTTTTATCTTTTCATATATATATTTATTTACTTTTTAAAATTTTTGAAAAAAAAACAGAAAGCCCAATTTAATTTCCCCAATTCCCTTTTGCCTTTACCAATAAGTGATTGGTCCCATTGGAACCGGTCTGGTTCCAAGACTAGCCGGTCCGGTCCCTTATCCTAGAAACTGGGAACCGGTCCTCCTGGTCCAGTTCCTGATTCTTGGACCGGACTAGACCGGATCAGGAACCGCTCACCCCTAATTAGAAATGGGTGCTATTGGATTCCATTCGAGGGTCTGTCTCTCAAGGTTTAATATGGAACTTTGCCAGATTACTCTGGAATTAGATTCCGTTTGTTTCCTAAAAAATAATAAGGGTAAAATAAAAATACTTAGGTGATCTCGATACATATGAGTTGAGCTACGATGAATGGAATGTAGGCAATACTTGCTTCGGAGAAGAAGGACTTTGCTGAGTTTGATGAACAATTGGAACGGTATTTGATTTGTCGAGTATCACCGAAGTCTAGGTTTAGCCTCCAGTGTCGAGGCTCGTTATTGGTACTTAGAAATAGGGCTGATATTTCTCGACACATTGGTCTACATGGGACCTAAATAGTTCATAGTTGCGGGTGCTTGGCGTTGAATTTAATTATGTCAAGTCATGAATGACTAAACCTGTAGATGCACTAGCCTTAAGCTCGTCATTCGCGAATTGACCATCTCAACTTGTTTAAGATAATGCTAGACACGCTCAACTAAACATATCAATGTGTTATTCGTGCCAACACGTCACATGCAAACATTTATGTAGATGCGTGAGCAAGCATGACATATTTTTTTACGCGTGTATAAAGATTGTATTTAAACGTGAAACGTGTCGTGTAACTCATATGATAAATGCGTTGCTTTGTTAGGTGGGAATATGACATGATTAGTAAACATGGCAATGTCCAGGTGAAATCTAAATTAAACACAAAACATGATTATGACATGATAAAATCAAATATACAAGACAATTAACTGCTAGCTCTATTGAGAAATGGCAGCAAGTTATGGACAAATTGAGTGGATTAAATTTGAATTAGATGCAAAACTTTGCATTCATCTTCTTAATCAGGCACGGCCTGGTAGGCCCGTATTGTCCTAGATCAATGATTGCGCTTGTTCAAGGCCGAACCAAGCCCAAGTGCTTAATTTCTGACCCGACTTGGTCTTACCCAACAACTTGACGAAACTATGAGTAAAAAGTATAGTAAATGATACTTATAAATTGGTCTTGCCCAGCACACATTTACGGTGTCGCGTTTTTTGCGTTCTTTTTGGCTAAAACACCCCATTTTTATGTTGATGACCACATCATTCTTCAACTTTATTAAGCACGTATAATATATACTAACACTTTTTTTAGGAAAATAATAATCTATGAGTTATAACTTTCCTGTGTCGTCCCGTTAAAAAATTTCCCTTTTTATTCTTTCTTGAACCTACCTAGAAAAATGCAATTTACTTTCCCCCCACAATAGCAAAAACAAGATACGAATGTGTATTATGTCAAGATATTAGTTCGTTTGTTTCTTCCAGTCTTTGAACATAAAGACTATAAAAGGATAAAAAAAGGAAAGGAAAGGGGAAGGAAAGAGAGAGATCAAGACGAAATTGTTTCTATTGTTCAACCATGAAGAAAGTTATCAATATTGCCCGTGAACCATATCCTCAAAAAAAAGAAATGGACTTCCATCAAAATCGCTTAAAATCTAGACAAAACAACCGATGAACGATCTTCTAACAACTCAAAGTAACAACATTATATCTTCAACAAATTAATGAATTCATGATGCGAACAAGAATAATGTTTTTCGACTTTAAAACGTAGTTACTTAGAATAAAGACATTTTTATCTTTATTGATTCAAAAGAACACTGGAGATAAGTTAACTAATTTGTTTTTGAAAACTTAGAACAAATGTGGTATATGAAGGAGAGAGGCGATAAGACTTTTTTTTAGAGAGTGGGGTGATGTTAATTATAAAAATTTTAAACAAATCTTGTGATTGGAGGGTAATTTGGTCAGTTAACGTAAAAATTGTGTGTTTTAGCTATAAGGTGTGGAAATAGCGTCATTCATATATTTGTTGTGGATTCTGTTGAAAGGTGCTTCGAGACACTGGTTGAGCAGCCATTGGTTATTTCATACTTAGATAATTAAATTCTACGTGTACTTTTCACAGCTAAGAATGTGTTAAAATAATATTGTATTTTTATGTTAAAATGTTTGGCGCTTCGTCTTTATTATATTCCCATACGACAATCATCATAACACTGGGGTAATTGTCTAGTTAGAGGTGATCGTGCCATGCTTGGCAACAATCGGAAGCCCAAATGGGTAGGTCAATACAAACAGCTCAACCCATCCGGACTCAATCACTTTTATAAAGTACGTTAAATATTCCATTAGTCATCTCGTCGCAAGTTGCTCAACTTGCCTTGCCTTTATTCTACTCCTTGATAAGTCCATCTAGACACATGACATATCTATTTGACTGCCATTACTACTCGAATTTTGTTAAATTGATAATGCAATGTTTATCTTGAGTCCCGTGGAATCACCACTCTGGTATATTTATCTGATTACTATCTATATTCGAATTTTCCTAAACGTATCTAAAGATTGGTTTACGTTCATAATTATTATCACTTCGATTTTATTTTTTTTGGGCTAAAAATTGTCATCACTTCGATTATTAGACCACGTCACAATACCTAAGGGACAAAAATGGGAAAAAAAAAAAAGGAGAGACATGGCGCCACCGACATCCACGAAATTCACAGAGGCGGCTCGCTCCCCCCCGCCCCCGATCGATTCAGTTACAACGTATCTTTCCCCGGATTCGCAGATCGCCCCCGATCCGACGGCCCAGAAACCTTCCACGAAGCCTCACCTGGACCGTCCAAAACTCCCGTGCGACTTTTCAGATTCCGCACCCCACCAAATAAAAAAAAAAAAGAAAAAGAAAAGAACAACGACAACAGAGGAGTGCCGTTTGAGGTTCAAACGTTTTCACCCCCAACAGCGTTATCACGGGAAACGCCAACCGCCGTCAACTCCCTTCCCCACCCCCGCGGCACCGCTCGGTTTGGTGGTGGGGCTGTCCGATCCGACGGCGGCGGCGTCAGTTGTCGCGCACGTATTCGTTAAATACGAAAAGAGGGAACAGACCTAGAACGTTAGACCGTTCCTCGCTTGCGCATCCACATACGCATATATATACACACACAGTATATTTATACTCCTCTCTTTTTTGTGTGTCTCTCTCTCTCTCTCTCTCTCTCCTCGTTTCAACGGGCGAGGATTTTTCGAAACGAAAGCTCTTGTTGCATCTCTCTCTCTCTCTCTCTCTCTCTAGGAGGAGGAGGAGGAAGGAACTCTCTCTCTCTTCTGTACAGGCTCGAATTTGTAGCTCTCTGTGGATGAGCTCGACTTCGATTCCCGCCACTTCTCGTCAAGAAGAGGTAAAGAGCTCTTGACCCCCCTCGCCGATTGCGTGCGAGGTATGTTCGGTCCTTTTCTCTCCTCCTTTTTTTTTCTCTCCGGTGAATCGCTCCTGTGCTGCTGCTGCTGCTTTTTGCCCGATCGCTCCTCGCGATCGGCTCCGGCTTCCGGCGGCGGCCGCGGTTCTCTCGGGTGGGGTCCGATGCGAATTCCCCCGGCCGGAAACCCTAGAATTGGCCGTTGCCCCCTGGGGTCCTTGGCGTTCGGTCTCTGTTGAGGCAGTGGTTCCGAGATCTGGGTCGTGCCTTGTTTTCTCGCCCGTGCCTTTTTTCGGTCGTTGCGGCGCTTGTGGATTTGGTTTTTGATTATCAAGTGGTTGGGTGTGCCCGATATGGATCGGTTATTGCTTGCTGATTGGTTCTGGCTTTGGCCTGTGGTTTGATGGCGCAGGACTTTGGGCGTTGGAGATGACTGTGGCAGGAATGGCCGAGTTAAAGATAGAGGATTGCTGTCTCGAGAACAAGCAATTGACTGCTGCCTCGAACTCCTCTTTATCCGAAGGCAGTGCCAGTGCCGCTACTCTCAAATCTCCCGCGGTGTCCAGCCCGGCAACTACTTCTCCCTCTCACCGGTATGGCATGCTAAAGAGCAATTGCTTTAGACGGCGACCTTTTTACGCCTCGCCGCCCTTCTGCATCACTGTCAAGTTGTTCTCTTTGCGGCCCTTTCCGTCCTTGTTTTTTTGTTGCTGTCTATTGTAATCGCATCCCTTCGATGCTGATTTAATCGAGGAGATTTACATGTGTGTGTTCTGCTGGTGGAGATTACTACACTGTCGTGTTGTTGCTAGTAGGTTAACTTTGCAATTTTATCTTCAGGAGGACGACGGGACCTATCAGGCGGGCAAAGGGTGGTTGGACTCCAGAGGAGGTTAATTTTCTGCTACTCTAGTGAATGTTTTGCTCTGCATGTGCTCTTTCTGTTTGATCATTGGAACTTTACATCCGAGGTCATTTTATACAATTATGTTTTCGTACATCGAAGGAGAGAGCTGAGCAGCATTTTATCTAATCAAAAGAAGTATGAAACTAGCATTGCCTAGACTGAATTGTTGGAAACTCCCATCTTGGGAACTAATGAGCCTGTACCTCATTGTAGAGAATATTTGCTTGTTTCTGTCCAGGGAAAGTAGCAGTTTCTAACCATTTTCTACCCTATTCAGGACGAGACGTTGAGAAATGCCGTTGCAGTTTATAATGGCAAGAGTTGGAAAAAAATAGGTAGCTCTCTTTTTTCTGACGCGCTTTCTTAAAGTTCTGCCTGTGCTTTTAAGTTACGGTCATACCGTTCTTGAGACCCAGAATTTGCTAAGCATCAGCTGCGTTTGGGAGTCTGATTGAAGTAGACAAGAATAATCTCGGTCTATAATTTTCTGATACAGCTGAGTCTTGTTCCATTAAAACATTAGATTGAATGCATATATATTCTTTGTTACCCAATTGAACGCTCTGTGGCTATACATTTGAGAAGAAAAATATATTTTTTTTGTTATTACACGTGCGGAAGAGCATTTCAAATTGCTATAAACGCACCGATAATCCTCAAATTATTAATTTGAGTGTTTTTCCCGGCTTCATTATAATATAATTGGTTTTATAAAGGAAGAGATGGTTCAGTTCATCACCTTTTCGTGGGGTTTATAGCACAAAGCTGGAGATTCCAAATGCTTTCTTTCAGATAGTATCTACATTGAACTGGTTGACACTTGTGCTTTTTGAAAAGAAACATATGAAATGCCGTGTCCGACGGTTAAAGCAATATAGATCATCATCACTACGTAATATTTTCCCTTGTGGTGTTGCTATTTATAATCGTCTTGCTTTCTACATTTTTCTGAGTGTTATTATCCATTACATGTGCTTCATTCTGGCATTGGCTCTCTCTCCTAAATTTATTGAAAATGCTAAAACTCTCATTTTCTTTTATTGGGTTGTGAGGAGTCTGGGAACAAATTATTCAGTTGCTTGAATTATGCAGATATATACTTGTATAAAGTATCTCTATGCATTCTGTTTCTTCGAGTGGATGAACTGGTCTTTGACTTATTTGTTGATCTTGTTTGGTTGTAGCTGAATACTTTCCTGATAGATCTGAAGTCCAATGTTTGCATAGGTGGCAAAAAGTTCTTAATCCTGAGCTTGTTAAGGGACCTTGGACCCAAGAGGTTGGACTGAGTTTCTTTCTTTTTGGTTAAATTACTATGTAAACTATGTTACTGAACTTTCTGCTCTTTGTTTGGAATATAGGAGGATGATAAGATCATTGATTTGGTATCAAGATATGGCCCCACAAAGTGGTCTCTCATAGCAAAGTCTTTGCCTGGTCGTATAGGGAAACAGTGCCGAGAGAGGTAGGTGTTCATGATCACAATCTTTGTCTGATCAAAACAGATTGTTATTCTATGGATGTTGATCTGTTGCAATGGGAGCCTCTTATTTCTAGTACTGCTATAGGTTTCTGTCTACTCTCTGGATTTCAGTTTCTTTATTTTTCCATGAGATGATCTACTTTTCACTGTTTGTGGGACATCCGTCGTAGTTTCGCAACTGTACTGTAAATTTCAGATAGTGCAATGCCTCTAAATAGATTCATGAGGGCAAATTTTCTCTTTTTTTGTCTACTGATAAGGCAATGCCTCTGTAAATTTCAGATGGCACAATCATTTGAATCCAGATATCAAAAAAGAAGCTTGGACGTTGGAGGAAGAATTAGCCCTTATGAATGCCCATCGGGCGCATGGGAATAAGTGGGCTGAAATTGCTAAGGTTTTACCTGGAAGGTATAGCAGTTTTTCACCATATATTATGACTTTACAAAAAATTCGGGCGAAGGAAGTGACTTTTTCTAGACATGGAATAGGCCAGTTTGGGAGTAAAAGCACATTGCTTTATGATTGTTTTGAGTCCTACGTCCTGGTCTTTCAGCCACTCTTCTGTCTTCTGATTCTTGTGAGGGATTTGAATAATTTTTTTGGATCTTGTAACTAAAAATACCAGTTGTTTTTCAGCCAAGTTTAGGAGTAAAAGCAGATTGCTTTTGATTGCTTAAGTCCTAGGTCCCTGCCTTTCAGCCAATCCCGTGTCTTCTTATTTATGAGAGGGAATTGATTGTCTTGGTTTGGTACATGTAAATAGACAATAGCAGTTGTTTTGCATTGTTATTCTTCTGGACTAGTTATATAGCATTGCTCTCTCATCTTTTTGGGATTTTTAAGATGCTGATTTGATCAGTTGAGTAGCACTAACGAATTCCTTTTTGGGACCTTGTCCCCCAAACCGATGGATGAAGGGGGAATTGATTGCCTATCCTATCAAGTGATTTTCTCTTTTTTACATAATGTCGTTATCACAGCAGTTTCTTCTATTCTTCCCTTCAACTAATGAAGAATATGCGAGAAGATTTTCTTAATCTATTAAGTTGTTGGTTTTTGTTTTGCTTACAATAGCATTAGGAACTTATGAGTATGCAAAGTTGACGTCTTGTTAAAATTTGTTGTAAATGATCGCTAAAAATGTGCTCCATCTGTTCTATTGTAATTCTGGATATGCTTTATTTCTGCACAGAGGAAGTCATTGAATTTGCTTGAATCTACCTTTCAGCTATATTGGCTTATGATATGCCTCTTTTTTGTTATGCAGGACTGACAACTCAATAAAGAATCATTGGAATAGTTCCTTGAAGAAAAAGTTAGACTTTTATTTAGCCACTGGTAAACTCCCACCAGTTGCAAAAAGTGGTTTACAAAATGGCTCCAAAGATGCAAGCAAACCCACATCAGCTAAAAGATTACTTGGGTGTAATAAAGGAGCAAACTTGATCCCTCAAAATTCATTAGGAAATGCCGGTACATGCAAATTAGAAGAAGAGAATCAGGATAAGTTGGAACTTATGGCTCGGCATCAAGAAGCATGTGAGTCATCAAGTTTTCTTCGCAGTGAATCCGCTGATTCGGGTAGTGCAGAGTTTAAATCTAGAATAGATGCTTCCACTAATTTAGAAGTATTGGCCCGGAGTGAAGATAGCGGAGCCTGTGGTAGAAGTGATCACAAAGATGTTGGAACAACGCCACCGGAGCAAGCTCTGGTTTATGGTTGTCTGTGCTATGAGCCACCTCCTCTGGAAAGTTGCATCCCTCTTGATTCTGAGATGAACGTTCATCTTCTGAAGCAAACTTGTTACTCAAGTCCTGCAAGTCCTGCTAGTCCTGCTAGTTTTCTCACTCCACCTTGTGAGAGAACTAGTGTTTTTTGCATACAAAGTCCAGAATCTATCCTCAGGTTTGCTGCTGAGACCTTCCCTAATACTCCATCTATATTGCGGAAGAGAAAAACTCAAGTGGCAAAGCATTTGTTTTCTAATAAAACTACAAAAGTAGATGGGGAGATTGGAAAAGACAGGCTTGATTCTCCTGATGTAGGGAGTAATGGTAGTTTGGAGAAATCCACGTCTCAGAATACAAGTGTCTATGATAGTCCTTGCCTTAGTAATGGTGCCAGTGCCACTATGTACAATGGTGGTGCTTTTAGTGCATCACCGCCATATCGGTTAAGATCCAAACGAACTGCTCTGCTCAAGTCTCTGGAGAAACAGCTTGATTTTACCTTTGAGGAAATGAAGTTGGATGGCAGTACGAAATCGGTTGATGTACCTATGAAGGAGAATGTTCATAATGCAGAAGATCCTTCTTCACACGTTACAAAGATGGTTTCGATCCAGGAATTGAAAGTGTGAGTAATTAGAGTAATAGCTTCTGTTCAGTTAAATCTTAATTTACTACTATGACTTCTTGCACTTTCTATGTAAGTTATACTTTTTCATCGAGATTATAGCTTCAAAATTCACTGTTCTGTTTTGTCTTTTATCTTTTTTTAGAATATATGATCGTGCATGGAATGATTTCACTCTTCGGTTCTCAATTCATATTGGAAGTGATAGTCATAGTGGTTGGGTTGAGTTCTAGGCTGAACTCTGCTTTAACTTGGAGACAAACCAAACATGATTTCTAGGGGTGTTAGTGATTCGGTTTGGACGTATTTTCAGCCCAAACTGAACTTACTGGTTTGGATCCCAACCTAAACCCAAACCAAAGCAATAAAATTATAACTAACTTCGGTTTGTTATCGGTTTGGTTCGGTTTCAAACCGTTACAATTAAGTTGATCTACAAGTATGAAGTTTAATACATGTTTAGACTATCGAACTTGAACATGCAATAACCAAAATTAACATAAAAGAACCTATTTCTACAAACTTTTTGAAAACAAAGGAATTTAATCACAATTAATTCAAATTAAAATATCGAAACGTTAAAAATATTATTTATCTAAATAAGGAAAACATAAAAGATCATAGAAAACTCTTTAGTTATTAGTATTTGAGATAAAAAAATTAATTAATAATGGCCAACTTGAGAAGTAAAAATCTTTTATTTAATAGTACAGAGGAATCTTAGATAGGAAGAAGTTGCTTGGTTAGGCTAGAGTACAAATTTTATTAGTCAAAAGGGAAAAAACATTTGTTTATTAAACTTATTGGTTTGCGAAGTGATAAGCCCAAACCAGACTAATAAGCCAATAACCAAAAAAAATCAAAACTAAAACTATACAAATAAATCGATGAACCAAACTTATCAGTTTGGTTTGGCTCAGTTTAGCGGTTTTCAGTTTTTCATGAACACCCCAAATGTATTTAGCTTTCATTTTCATTTATCAATTGTGATCAAGAAGACTGAAAAATGAAAACAGAAGCTATTTTGTTAAGAAAATGAAACTGAAAATGCTTTCTGGGATTACACAGCCCCCAAATGTTCTTTTGTTTCCTTTGGCTCGTGTATTTAGCATGCATGGATATAGTCATTATATAAGTATTTCTACGGAAGATTATAACCATTCTGGAACATTTCATTAATGGTTTCTATAAGTGATTAAATATTTTAAGGAAAATGAGAAAAGGCATCTGCATTTGTTCAGGGAGAACCTATTAAGCCCCATAGGAAAATGTTAGAATTGTGGTTCAGCTATTTGAGACATTGGAATGATGTCAGTCATGAACCGCCTCTTCAAAATAGTTGAGGTGCTGCTATGGGAATTGGACTTTCCTTTGTCTTATATCCACTGTCAGTTTTTTTATTGCAAAATTTTGTTTTTGGCCGGGGAAAAAAGTTTTAAGCTTATTGAATGTGAATTTTATTCTTAGATGAGGTAAGTTTTTATCAAAGTTTGCAAGCACCTCCCACTAATCTGCTGCTATTATGATGCTTAAATGTGACTTTTGGAAGTCTGAAGAGTGTTATACTTGTCCAACTGTTGTCTTCTGAGTGGAGTTTGAATGATTTGGGTTTTTATACGAGCTTCTAGTGAAAGAACGTGCATGTTACTTATAAATTCACAACCTCACGCCATAAGGAAAGAAGAAGACAAAGGATGTGTCAAAAGAATATGTATGCAAAGCTGTTGGTGTTTGAGTATATAAGAGTATTGTGGCATTGATAATATTGGGAAATACTTAAAATGACCTCTTTAGCTCTTAAAAAGAGTTGAATAAATTCACTGATATTTAAGCAGTTCGTCAAGATGGGCAGGGACGCTCTTTAAAAAGGTTTTCGTTTTTTCCCCCATTTGTTGCTTCTAGAATAGACATTAATGCTCTGTTTTTTATTAACTCACAAGGAGATAAAAGTTTACCTTGTCTGCAATTTCATTTTAGGGACTAATGGTACACATCTACCAGGCGGTTGATGACAAGCAACCATCTGCATTGGAGATCTGGTAATCTTTCTTCAATGCTTCACCTTAGTTGTCACAGAGACAGCTTGGCTTGGGAGATTCGTTCCCATCAGATGCATACCATGATAGAAGAAATTCAGAAGTAGATGCATTTTTAAAAATAAATTCAGTGGTAGAAGATGGGGCCTTCCAAGTCTGTACAGAAATCATTTGATAAATGGCAATTTGGTTGGTATTACATCCAGGGTTATAAGATTACTTCTCCTATCCAATACATTTTTGCTTGTCGTCGGTTGTCAATATCTTACTAACAGATCCATTAGCACGGTGCTTCCCCACTTGTAATTTAAGAAGGCTGTCATCCATTTTTTTCGAGTTTATCGGATCCAACTGTATCTTTCGCTATGCTTCCAAGTGTACATGCTTTACTAGTTCAATGTTACAGCTTCTGATTTGCTCGAGTGTTGAAGTTTAGAAACACCGGTACAGTCTTAATGGATGATGCTATGTTACTGATCGACTTCCACATGCTGGCTGTTTCTAGGTAACCTAAGTCATTATTCTGCTTTCTGATTTTCCGAAGCAGCACTCGATTAATCCATCTTTTGCCCGAACATCGCTCGACTCGATCACTCTTGTAGATTAGGATGTTCGTCTTTGGACAGGGTTCATTCATTTCTTTTTTCTACTTATAAATAATGCTGGTTTGGTCCTGACCACTGCCGCGAGTGCATGGTCAATTAGAGGTGGTAGTTGTTTTGGTGTCGGTAGCAGTTTCAAACATTTGCTTGATTGGATGAGGGTGCACTCGCGCCAGGTTTGTAATATTAGTCGCCATCGATGGACACTTGCTAGGATCCTTTGGATATTAGTCGGCCAGATCATTTTGGCCGGAGAGAATGGGTTACAGACTGTTTTCTTTCGGTTTTCACCCCCTAGCATGTCATTATATCTCTGCAAGCATGATGATGCATGGCCGGGTAACTAGTTTGCCTGAATGGGATGAGTGAAACAGACATCTCGTATGATATTGTCCCTTTTGCTAGGAAACAACGGCGATTAGGCAGGCGAGATTCTTGCCTAGACCGGCAAATGTGGATCGTGTGAATCTAAATTACTGACGTAGGAGTAGTGGTTCTTGTGAAGACCCACTATATTCAATGGCTTTGATCATGTGGTCATGATTGACCCTATTGGTTTCTTCTCTCTTCTTTTCCAGTGTTGGTGGAAGGCATTGCTGTAGAATGATACTTAGGTCGAGGGGAAGTAGGCCTAACACCGAAAGCTCGTATGAGAGATTTTGTGGTGCATGATCCTGTGCGTGTTAGTGGCATGCCCAATAACTAAGAAAAGATGACCAGTTAAACCTGTCGTCTAACTTGACCAAAAAAAAAAAAAAAAAACCTGTCTTCTAAGTTTTGGTATACTTGCAATTTGATCTTCTAACTTTTATGATACGCAATCAAGTCCTCTGTTCTCAATTTGTGCGATTTGGCGCTCTAAGTTTTAATCTGTTCATTGAAGTCTTATGGCGTTCTCAATTTGTAAACGGCTTAATTAAATTAATAAAATTACTGTTGTTCTAATCAAGAAAGCTTTACTCATTCGAAATGGATAGTACTTTGGTAAAACTCAAGTTTTCTGTTTCCTCGGTCAGCTATGACAAAACGGTTTGAAGATCCGCCACTACATTAAGTTCATAATCAAGTTTAGCTAATCATTGCTGACAACAGGATTATGACTTGGATTTTTTAAAATGATGTTGGAGATAGCACTTGATACAGGCCATGTAAGGTGCACCACACTACTTCAAAGCGCGAGATATTGTTGCATTTTGTGATAATTATACAAAAAATGTTAAACCTATCGTACGTATGTCAATTCAATTTTAAATCTTTCGATTTGGTCAAAACCTTCAGATGATTAGTCAATGTAGTTCTTTCGGCCAATTTTTATCCTGAAATCAGTGACGTGAACATCGATTGTTCTACGTGGCATGGTCACTACCGATATGGATAATTTTTGCAAATTTTTAACAAAATTCCATATATATATAATGAAAAGAAAACGAAAAGAAAAAGCAAATAAAAAAGAAAAAAATAACAATATTTGGCAAAATATTTGCAAAATTGTCTACATTAGCACCGGCCTTGCCACGTAGGACGGCCAGTGTCTATGTTAGCAATATTTGGCCAAAAGTGGCTAGAATGATTATATTGACAAATTGTCAAAATGTTTAATTATGTAATTTTTTGTATTTCCACATAAGAGATATAGCACCCCATGAATTTGCGCGGTAAAAAGAAGCTTTTGTATTATTTCTGACTGTAGGTGTTATAACTTTCCTCAATAAGTAAGCATATCTAGAGTTAAATGAAAAGTAAAATTACATAAGAAGTTTAATGGTTTATGTATATTTAATGCGATCAAATAGAATATCATACGCTATGACATATATCGCGATGGCAGGTTTAAAAATGATAGAAAATGTTAAAAATAATGGAATAATATATGAAACATGCAACTCAATGCACGATATTCAAAGTTTTTCTTGCATTAAGCATTGAGTTACTTTATTTTAAGGAGAACAAAAATCAAGTAAACTTAACAACATGATTCACTAACCGGTGGTCCAAACTATGTGAATTGGCAACACAACTCATTTATTCAACCACAAGGTAACAACAATGAATAAAGCAACTAATTGAACCCTCGATATATGAGAGAGAGAGAGAAAGAGAGAGAGAGAGGTGTTTGATTGATTTAGGAAAACTTACCTAGTTAGTCAAAACTCTATTGTAAGGATGTCATTTTAGTCTCAAACTAAACAATTTTGCCAATATGCTCCTAAATTTTGCGCAAACTTTTAATACAGTCCTTTCGGCCAATATCGCTATAAATTGCTGACGTGGATTCCAACCATCACCGGCCATCCTACATGGCGCACCGATATGGATAACTTTACTCAAAATGATGTCCTATGTGGACTGCGACATCGGCGTTTTCAACGTCAATTGGCCGAAAGGATTACCTAGGTATTTCGCATACATTAGTAAAATTGAAAAGTTAAGAAATGAACTGAGCCGTACAATAAGTTTAGGACGAAATGGGTTAAGTGTACTAGAAGTCCTAAAAATTATCATGAAAGTGCAATTAAGTCATAAATCTTTCAAAAAGTGTAATCAAGTTCTCAAACTTGTCATAAAAGTACAACCGACCTCTAAACTTTTAAAAAGTGCAATCAAGTCTTAAACTTGTCAAGTTGGTACAACCAAGTCCTAAAACTTATTAGCATTTTCTATTTGTCAACTTGGAGGAGTTCATAGAAAAACTTGATTGCATTCTTTGAAAGTTTTAGGATTCAATTGCATTTTCACGACAAGTTTTAAGACTTTTAGTATACTTATCCTAGATTGAATTGGTAATTTTCCTATATATATAGTGTGGGCTAGTGCTCACGTCCATTGGTCATAGTTGTTCGAGAGTTTACAACTGCTATGTCAATTCAATTTGTACAAACAAGTGATTTACCTGACTCAACTACGATTTGACTCACGAGAATTCTTAGAGCAATATGAGTGTTAAAAAGCTTATGCATCGTAAAAACACATATTTAATTTGTGATTAGTAACTAAGGAGAGATTCTAACCCTCTATTTACATGAATCCCTCGAAAAATTAGTCGTGTAGGACGCTAACAATAGTCTAACATTTTGACCTCTGAACAAAAAGCCTGGGTCGACTATCATCACTTATAATATCTACACTGGATATTAAGTTTGTCGTCATCAAAATTACTTAATATCGGTCAACATTAGTGTCTCCATAAAAAGTAAGAAAAGTGGGGATTTTATTCCTTAATAAGCAAGGATGCATTTATGATGCATTGGAAATGTTGTTACGGACGCAAACTAGAATGCAGGATGCCACTAATTATTGCATACAAATGCTAATAGAATCCAGATAATAAGGTCTAGTAATGAGACTTCCTAAAAGCCAATAACCAAATATAGATGTTACCTTCTATATATGTAGGTGCATAGTTGCAATTTATGAGTTGGGCAGCAAAAGTAGACAAGAAAACAATTCAAAATAGTACAAGGTCGGGCTAATTCCGAAAAAAAAAACACCAACTTTATCTTGAGTGACAATTTTAACCCACACTTTTTTTTGTCTCAATAAAAAACACCAACTTTTACTCTAGTCCTAAATTTGACCCCCGTGATGTGAAATTTTCAGATTGTTTGGGTCAGATTTGGGATTTTAGTGAAAGTTGATGATTTTTTATGAAAAAAAAAAAGTTTAGACCAAAATTGTCACTCAAGTTAAAGTTAGTGCTTTTTTTTTTTCGAGTTAGGCTAGATAAATCGTATTACTTTGCTCGAGGGCGTGAATTGGAAATCTCTCTAAAATTTAGACGCGCCTTTTGTTTTTCTACCGATATTAAGAGCATTTCTGGCCTCTCACATTCATCATCCTCCTCAACTACACATATAAGCCATCTCTCTCTCTCTCTCTCTCTCTCTCTCTCTGTGAGACAGCACAAGTCTAAGAGTATAATGTTCTTTGTTAATGAAAGAATCGGGAGCAGAGGCCAAGAAATCAATGGCCAATGAAACGAGCCAAGTGGAAGTGGAACGAGAAAATCTGGCTATAGAGATCGTGGACCAACTACCCAAAATTGCCGAACCTCAATTTTATGAAGGAACGATGTTCGGTCTGCCGAGGGAATGGACGGCAGAAATAAGGCCACGGAAAGCCTCTTCGAAATACTTTAGTAAAGTGGATCAGGTAATGTTAGGGTTTCCACTCCTCTTCCCCATCAGCACCTCTAATTTTTCTCTTTTAGGGTGAAAGAATAAGCTGATGAGATCTTAAATTTTGATTATTGTCAAATGTGTTTAAGATCGTGAACACGATTAAGGTTAGCTTTCTTATAGGAATCTTGTTACAATTTCTACTATGGTTGTCATGATCACACCAGAAACACGAGTCTTTAACGATAATAAACAAAAAAAAAAAAACGAAACACACGTGGACATTATTGTGAAAAGGATGATACTTGGAGAATAACGGAAAACTTCCATACCAATTGGCGGGAAATGACGAGGCATTGTTTTTATCGTGATTGCTTTCTTAGTTGATTTCGATTACCTAAAAAGCTTAGATGTATGGATCATTTCTAGAAATTGGATTATGATGGTAATTCAATGCTTTTAAAATCACAAGTGTAATTAAACTTGGCTTGCATTTACGAATCACGTTGTAATTTCTGGTATGATTTTAAAATCACAAAAGTGGTGCAAATTCGCTTTAAGGATAAACTAACAGAGTGGAAACACAAGGACGTTATGAAATGAATGATAGATGTGTAGAGCGACAAAAAATTTCCTTACTGATTGACAGAAAACGACAATGCATCGTTTTTATGATTGCTC